ATTCTGTACCCCAAAATTTGCCCTCTCATATTTCTCAAAACATTGCAAGGAAAATCTCCAAGTGGCTCAAGATTGCTCAAGAGTTGGACAATCAAGCTATCTCCTAAGGCAGTCAACCCCAAATTAGGGTTTTGTGTTGCACCAAGGTATTTGAATACAAATGACCTCAAGTTCTCCCCAATGTCCTAATAGGTTATCAAGATCATCCATGTCAAATTTCAAGCCTTGCAGAGGAAGTTTGCTCAGTCAATTGCTCAAAGGGTCCAAAAATCGACTATGCTAGGGCAAAAGTCAACTGTGACCTACAAATAGTCAAACTTTAAGATTTTTTGTCAACATTCCAATTTTGAAGGATATTTCATCATTTTATCAAGGGTTGATCATGATTTATCAAGGATTTCTCAAAATTCATCAAGACTCAAAAGTTGTTAAATTAGGGTTTTTTAGGAAAAGTCAACTCAACTTTGACCAAGCATAAATTTCTCATACTTTATGATAAATGACCCATCCAAAGCTCATTTTGAAGAGGATGAAATTTCCTACAATCCAGCTTCATACCCCAAGTTCAAAAAATGCACTCACAAGAAGTTATAAATTTGGACATTATAGGTCATTTTTGAAAGTCAACAAAAACACCTTTTTTTCCAAAGATTATAACTTGATCATGGGACATCAAAATGAGATGAGATCAAAAGGGTTGGTTAGAGGACATCTCAATATTTCTAAAAATTCTAAGAACACTTCCAAAAGTTCAAAATTGAAGAAGTTATGCATTGTTGAAGTTGGGCATTTTTGCAAAATTGTCAAAAGTCAACTATCCCCAAAACTTCAAATTTTGGCAAATAGGCCCATTCTTTTCCACTTGATTTGAGCTTGCATCATTGTCCACATGTCCTATCTTCATCCATGTGTCCATTTATCAATTTTATTATTTGATTTGATTTTTATTGAATTATTTCATTTTAAATCAAATTAAATCAAATAAAATCCCAACTTTTGATTACATGAGATTTTTTGCTATTTTCAGGATTGGATTCTCATCAATATCATCATCAAATTCGTATCACACAAGATCATGCACAAAGAGATGGATTTTTGACAAATTAGGCAAGCTTTCAAAAGTGAATCAAATCAAATATGCAATGCATTGATGTGGAAGATTCAAGACATATTTGTTGACCTAATGCATTCCATGATACATATAGAAGGCAAAGACACGAAAACAAGGGTTAGAGGCTGCAAGAACAATCAAGACAAAACTTGAAAAAGTGTGGAAAAAGCTTGAATCTGAATTCATACTTAGAGGCGATCTCAGAAGCCAAGAAGGGTCTCAATCAATTCCTGGAGGTTCACTGAGTTGAAACCAACCCAAAGCAAGCTCCCATACACGCCCAAACGCACTGTAAGTACCACGCGGGTCCTTTTCTTTCTTGAATTCGTAAATCCTCATTCTGGCATCTTTTGGACAAAATAATTACATGTTTGTGATCACCAAGACATTTGCAAACTTTTTGTATTATTGAATTTCGTTTATATGACATGTACCAAGAATCACCATAGCTAGGGTTCTTGGAGCTTTTTTGGGCGTTTTTGCTACAGGTAAAATTAGCCTTAATGATGGCTATGGACGTGACCGGGAGAGGAAGACAAATGCAACCATGGTCTTGGGAGGAATTTATATAGCCTGAGATGAATTTTAGGAACGACCTATGCATTTAGCTGCGGATTCAAATCCGCAAGTAATTTTGTTTCAGGCCTGAGGACAGGGACGACATCGTGTCCTCCTCTGATTGGCCCTTTTCAAATTTTCGCGCATTTTTTTATTTTCTGACATATTAACGTGTTTTAGCATATTATGTTTTGTTTGTATTTTATTAACAATTGAAGTGAAGTGCCCCAGTGGTTAGCGTGTCTATTTCCAAGGCGTTGATGGCTGGAGGTCAGGGGTTCGATCCCTACCTCTAGCGCTTTGTATTTTCCTTTGTTTTTTCATGTAATCACATGCAGATCTAGGCTTGCAGCTCACCATGTGCCCTCACACGTCCAACAGCCAGATGGCCAAAGGCCAGATCTGGTGATTCAGATTGATGGTCCACCATGGAGTCAAGTCAACGTGCACTCACTGGATCTCACAAAGTCAGCAAAGGGTCAACTCGTTTGGGCCATAGAATTTGCTTCCCAAACACTCCAATCAGGCACATACCCCCTAACTCTCTCTATTTCATTTATTTTTGTTTTATTTGATTTAATTATTTTCATTATTAACTAACCAATCAAATTTTATTTTTCTCTATAAAATTAAAACCACAAAAATATTTTCTTCATAAAAATCAAATTTTAATTTTTATTAACAAATATTAATTTAATTAATTTAGGCTTTAATTAGAAATAACTTTAATATATTTTTTGAAAATAATTAAAATAAATTAGATTTAATTAGGTTTTTACTAACATTAATTTATTTTATTTTATTTCTTTAAATACCAAAAATTCAAAAAAATAATTTATTTTCATTAATTAATTTATTTATTCATTAATTTAATAATTAGCTTAGATAATTTCTTTCTTAATTAAAAAATAAACAAAAAAATCTTTTTCTTTAAATAACAAAGGGTCAAAACTCTACTTGCGCTCGATTTAATTTTCCCGCACGCGATCTATTTATTCAATATTGTATTTGTTCCCGGAATGTAATAGATAATTAAGACCATTTAATTATTTTTATCGCTTTATTTATTTTTCCGCATTTAAATTTCAAAGGGTTGCTTTTGGAGATGTAAATACCCGACGCCTTGTAATTTAAATTCCGCAATTTATTTTCCGCAAAATATAACTGTTAGATGTTTGATAATAGGGGATGCATGACAAGATTGAATGTTTAAACCTAAAATCAACTTAGATCACCACTAACATGTACAAAGATAAAATAAACTGAAAACGACACACTCGCACATGCGCACTCTTAGGGTACACCCCACTTGATTGCCTTCGTATACGGTCATTGAGTATAGGTCACTTTAGAGGTCGCCCTCTTGTCCAAAGATCATAGTCGCCTCGAAACGGTTGCCTCGAATATTGTTGCCTCAAAACAAATGATCTAAGACATTAGGGTTACCGCTAAGGCGTCCTAACATTGCTTTGGTGACCGTAAGTCCCTAATTCGAATTGACCCTTAAAACTCCAACGACGGTGCTACCTACTCATCAATAGTAGGATATCATTGTCTAAAGGAAGATAGCATAGAACGATTCCTTTTTCGAGTAGGTAGATGGTTCTTAGATACTTGCTCTTTCAAAAAACAAAATCTTTTTCACACTTACACTTTTCGAACAAAGTTTTCAAAAACACTTCATACGCTCTTGAGGACAGAAGCAAGAGTTAAATAAAAGTTTTCAAACAATTTTTTTTTCAAACCCACAAGCACAAAGAAAGCAATTTTGAAAACATATGAGCAAGTACCTAAGAGCCCGTGGATAACCACGGATAGAAAGGGTGCTAACACCTTCCCTTTCTATAATCCACCCCCCGAACCCGAGAAATATCTCAAAAAAGGAAATTTTCTGTGTTTTTTTCCTTTCCTTGTTGGATAAAATAAAAGTTGGTGGCGACTCTTGCTTACCACGACATTTTGCAAAAACAAACGCAAAACCCAAACTAGCATTCCAAAAAACAGTCAGTTCTTCCCACCGTATCACAGTCTGCAATCTGATTCTTAGTTTTGTAGTGCTCCAAGTTCATCTTTCCTTCTGCTACTTGCTCTCGAAGATAATGAAACCTCATTTCGATGTGCTTGCTTCAACCATGTGTTATCGAGTTCTTATCCAGATTGATAGCTTACATGTTATCGATCTTCATGGTAATTTCTCTATGATCTTTACCTGTAATCTCTTCGACTAAGTTCACCATCCATGTTACTTAACATGCACATAGAGAAGTGTTGCACCCTAAAATTTACCCTCTTGATTTAGGCTTATGTTTCATCATACACACTCATGCATATCATTGGGTCTATGGTTATGGGATCAAGGTTTCTCCTGATTCGGGTAATCCTCGTTCAGAGAGAAGGATATGGCACTCAAGGAAGACGCAAGATTGAACTATTGTCGTCATGATTATAATCTCAAGTCTCACGTCATAATTGATTCCAAGGCTTCTCAAGATTGTCAGAAACTAGGGTTCACAGTGGACTGAGACTTCCACATCAAATACAACCTAATTCTTCTGGTTTTTTCCTCAAACAAGGAAGTGTGAAATTAGGGTTCTGGCTCATGGTTAATTTAAGATCTTTTCCCCATCAAGCAAATAGAGATGTTCTTATCCAAAATTCATCAAAGTCTTGAATTAGAGATCATGTCTCCATATTTCTCAGAAAATTAGGTTTGCATCTCAGCATAGTTATGGTGGATAATTGAGGTTCATCGAATGTCTTTTACAAGATTCGTCAAGGCTTTATTCTAGTAAAGAGCCCCAAGTGAAAAGAGATATTGTCAAGTTAAGGTACCTCGTGAATTGAGTAGCAAGGGTATGGAGCCAAGATGTAAAGACGATGATGTGATTAAGTCCATTAATGGTAATTATGGCTTGTTATGCAATTTTGATGTGGATTAAAGAATTTGATTAACGATGATTCATGTCATGAATTCAAGTTTGTTTCAAACTACTCAATGGGTTAATTTTGTTTAAAGTACCAAAGTTAGAAAATTTGTTCATACGGTATAGAACACCGTGGAATTTTACACACTATGAACTGTGTTATGAACTGTGTGGCAATAAGGGAAAGAGAAGAATGGAATTTCAAGTCCTAAATTGAAGGAGAGTTGTCTTAAAGAATATACAATTTGAATGCAAAAGCTCACAAGGATATGTTTTACAAGACCAAAGCATCTTGATTTTGAATTTCATTACATCATCATTCCATCATCATTCCATCAACACCACTTCCAAGTCAAAAGGAGTATACAATTTTAAAAAGGAAGGTTTCTTTGGATTGGAATTTACCAATGATTCAAGGGTTAACAATATGGAAAGAATCAATATGTTCACATAAATTCTTGTACAAGTCTGTTACGCATGATTCATTCAAAACTATTTCAAGTACATTACAAGCCATTACAAAATCCTGTATATTACATCACACACACCAAAACAGAACCAAACATCACATTTTCTTCTTATATAAACCACACATAATGGGAAAGTCCGCTACAGACAGATTTAGACATCTTTTCAACCATTCACTCGTTGCTTCCCAACATCGTCATCATCGAATTAATCCTATCCTCTTTCGATCGTCGTCTTCCATGGCTTCTCATTCTTCGCCTTTCCCTGTTACCGCTCAAAATATCAACCCACAGGTTCTGAAATGTCAGTATGTTGTTCGAGGAGAGATTGTCACACTAGCTCAGAATTTGCAAAAAAAATTTGCTGGCCAATCCAAGCGCTCATTATTTGATGAGATAATTTACTAAAACATTGGAAACTCTCAGTCTCTTGGCCAGCAGCCAATAATTTATTTCCGAGAGGTTCTTGCATTATGTGACCAATCCCGATCACATTTTTTTTACAGACGGTGCAAGCCCAGCAGTCCAGATGATGATGCAACTACTCACTAGATCAGAAAATAATGGAAAAGAGCAGTAAATACATATCCAAATTCACATGATATCTCAAGCCAATTGGCAAGAACTATTCGAACAATCCGACATAAAAACAGAATGATAACATTCAAAAACCATGTAATATAGCCCTGCATAAAAAGTCAGAAAATGAATTCAGTAAATTACAAAATCCAGTCCATAAAATAATGCAGAAAAAACCAAAAGGAAATCAGCGATCCAGAAAAATAACAAAAAGCCCAGTTGTATCTACTCTGCACCAGTTCAAGTAGAATAAAAAAAATCAGAAAATTAAACTCATAACAAGAAATCATATTCAATCTCAGCCATAGATTCCTATAACATATTTCAGAAAGTAATGGCTCAGATTCATTTAAGTTGTAACTAACTTTCTGATTTCTAACATAAATTATATAACACAAGAAACTTACCAGTTCAGATTATTATTCAATCATTCAGAAGAATCACTGCAAAAACTCAAAAAACTCTCTCCCTATTAAATCTTCATCTCTGAAAATCCCTCTCATCTTCATCAATTCTCCGGCTGAATCTTCAACCTCCAAAACCTTCATCATTCCCCTTGCAGCTTCATCATTCATCAACATCACCATCACAACTTATGTATCAAGAACAATGGCATCAACAAATCCTCTACACACGATTCAACGTCACCTTCATCAAATTGGTGATATCTGCTACAACAACATCAACATCATCTCCGTTCCCTCCAATCGCATCTTCACAAGATCAATAGCTGAAATCGATTCAAAGATCGAAAAAAGAAGAAGTAGGAAGAGTTACGAGATTAGACATGTACCAAAATTGGTTTCTCGTGTTTCGATCTCATCACTCTTGAAGAATGGCTGGTGTTGCTCCGGTCGGTAAGCGTTATTTCTCCGTCTATTCTATTTTTACAGTGTGAAGCTTCTTTGTGTTGAGAGCGAGCAGGATGACTATGGAGGTTAGTTGAGGTGTTTGTTGAGAGAGGAGAAGAAGAGATATCGCCAGAGAGTGAGATGATGAAATCATGAATGGAAGAAGGCTGAGTTAAACGAAGGATCATTGGAGAAGGTGACGATTCACAGTGGCAAAAGGGAAAAAATTTCTGTGTAGCGCGTTTGGTTTTGCGAAAGGAAGGAGAACGACGAAATCTTAGAGTCACAATTTCTTCTGAACCCTAAGCCCATTTTATGTTTTTTTGTATTACTTTGATTATTAATTTTCTTTTTGATGGAATAAACAAATATAATACATAAAAATCTGAATTGGACCTTATCAGTAAGATAAGAATTGTACCAAGCTTGCTATCTCCATGAGCCCAGGAACCGTTTTTTTGCATATCAGAAGTTTATTGTTGCAAACTGACTTAGACTAACCATGCTAGGCCTAGCGCCTTTACTAAAATACACCATTAGATCTAGGCAGTACACACCCTGACTCTATTATTTAAATTCTTAGAATTAATTTTACTTTTGTAAATAAAATGTATACAATGATAAATATAGTAAAAACAAAAATAAATAGTAGATTTTAATAGAAATTTTAGGAATTAATTCTCTAGTTTTTTTTCTAGAATTTTCATTAAATAAAAATTCATAAAAAAATATTTTTTCCTTTTGGTATTTTTACCCATATTTTCATGCCGCTTTGCCATGTTACTTATGACGTGTTTGTTGATTGTGCAAGGTACATTTTTTGCTTTAGATCATGTAACATAACGAGTTGTTATCTGATCGAAGCATACAAATTATGCTCGCTTCCGATGCGACATGCCTTATTTCTCATCATCCTGAGAAATTCATATTATTATATGTTGTCTAGATGCATGTGATGTTTTATGACACTTTGTACAGGAACTTATGATTACGCGTTGCATTCGCAACACACGTTTGCTTTTATCTTAGATGGATATCATTTCTGACTTTGTTTGTTTTTTGGTGAATCTTACTTGACACGTACTCCCTGCTTCTCCAGTGCTTTCGTCTGCTTTTGATGATTCACTTGCTTTTGGTAGTCGTCGCTACTACCTTTGTACTTCTCTGCACTTTATCATACTTCTTTACCGCCTTTCTAGATATCGTGAGAAGTAGGGCTTTACTGCTTTCCTTACCATGAGAAGTATGGTAGAGATGTATGACGGGGGTCTCCATTTTTGATCATGTCAGGAACCCCTCTGGTTTATTTAAAGACCCGTTTAGGGTAATTTCACATTGTGAGCATTCTATCTGCTATTTGTGGTTGTTTAAAACCCTACCTTTGAGTAGGTATTCCGCACGGGTGTTTATATTTGTTCCTGGATATGTACAGGTGGTAAGTCCTCAAAAAGAGGTGAGCGGGGAGGGTTCACAATCAACCGCCGCACATTCTACTCCGTGTCATCCTTAGCTCACTTGGTACATCGATGCTTTGGATCCGTGCAGATCATATGTATCGAGTTCGTCGTGTGGGGAAGTGTTTTGTAAGCAAACCCCCACGCTCTGTCAGGAGTTCGCATTGGTCGATGCTGACACTCCATGATCGTTCATATTGTCTTCAGTCACCTACCTCGATCTTTTGCCATCCTTACCATGATATTTTGTTATCTTTCTGCCGATATTTCTCCATCACACATGTTTGTTATCCTGCCTTGATTCTCAATATCATTGTTAGGTGTGATGTTTTATCATCTGAATTGTTGATGTCTCGCCATCTTTGCCATGTTATCTTGTTACCTTTTAGCCGATGCTTCACCATCGCATATGTATGTTGCCGATGTTTCACCATCACAAATATTTGTTATCCTACTTTTATTCTCAATATCAATGTTAGGTGTGATGTTTTATCATCGGAATTGTTGATCTCTCGCCATCTTTACCATGTTATCTTGCTATCTTTTTACCGATGTTTCGCCATTGCATATGTTTGTTGCCGATGTTTCGCCATCGCATATGTTTGTTATCCTACTTTGATTCTCAATATCATTGTTAGGTGTGATGTTTTATCATCTGAATGGTTGATGTCTCGCCATCTTTTCCATGTTATCTTGCTATCTTTTAGCTGTTGTTTCACCATTGCATATGTTTATTGTCGATGTTTCATCATTGCATATGTTTGTTATCCTATGATTCTCAATATCATTGTTACGTGTGATGTTTTATCATCTAATTATTGATGTCTCACCATATTTGCCATGCTATATTGTTATCTTTTTATCTATGTTTCGCCATCTCATATGTTTGTTGCCTATGTTTCGTCATCACGTATGTTTGTCATCCTACTTTGATTTTTGATATCATTGTTAGGTGTAATATTTCATCATCTTGTCTGATATTTTTTTATCATGCTGACGTTTTATCATCTTATCTGAGTTTGTGTTACCATGAGAGTCTTGTCCTCCTTTTTTTTTGTTTTATCATCGTTGTTTATGTTTTTGTCATTTAATCTGATGTTTTGCCATCTTGATTGTTGCTTTTGTCCTCTTAACTAAAACACACAAACCAACCAAAATACGTGAGCCGAACTACGGCTGCTCTGATTCCTTAAAAGGGATACGTAGGTATTGGGGTAGGGCCTGAACGAGTACAACTTTTATTTTCCCTACATTATTTTCTCCTTTATTTTGCATATATTCCCTCCTTGCATCTTTCTTTTTAGCTTTTAAGCCTTAGACATAGATTTTGACTACACCTTTAGATTAGAACAACATGAGTGAATACCATAGAGTACTATGGACATATGTGGTGCTAATACCTTCCCCTCACGTAACAAACTCCTTTACCCGATCTCTCGGTCGCAAGACCGTGACTTCTCCCTTCTCATGTTTTCTCGATGTTTACCTTTCCCTTCATGTGGGATAAAAGACATTCAGTGGCAACTTCATTGACTTTATATCTGATGACGGTTCAGCCGGTTGTTTCAAGAAGCAGCTATGTATTCTGATTCACACGATGATAATGCAACTACTGGTTCCTTTCTTTAACTCCAAGCAACTGGTGCACCACCTAGCATAAACACATACCCTGTTATAGATTTTTGATCCTCAGCATCACTACACCAACTCGAATCAGTGTAGCCCACTAACTTGCATTATTTTCCTTTATCAGCTGTAGGAAACAAAATGCCATAGTCAAGAGTTCCTTTAAAATAACTTAATATCCTTTTCGTTGCTGCTACATGAGATACCTTTGGCTTCTGCATGAATCTACTTACCATACCTACAATGTATGCTAAGTCAGGCCTCATGTGACAAAGGTATCTTAATGACCCAATAAGTCTTCTGTGTTGAGTTGGGTCGACATTATCTTCTTCTGATTCTTTTGATAGTTGCAACCTTGGTTCAGCAAGTATTAATGCCGAGTTGCATTCTTTCATCTCAAATCTCTTGAGAATTTCTCTTGCATATAATTTTTGATGCATCATCAAACTTCTACTGCTCTTGGAGTTTTGCATCGTTAGTAGAAAACAATGACGTTATTGAGCCTCTGATTCGGGATGATTTCGTCAGAGTTTTGCAGAAGGATTTGCTGGAAAGTTCAGAAGATGACAATTTTGATTGCCTGAATGAAGAAGGAATTTTCTCGATTAATTCCTGTTACAGGTATTTTACCGAAAACCAGTCTGCATCGTTTTCTTCCAGTGTTTCTGTGGCAACCATTAATCACTTTTAGGAAATCAAAGTTCATCAAATATTTCGTTGTTTGGATGGAGATTTATTATAAACAAGTTACCTACAAAAGACTAGTTGTCTAAAAGGGGGGTTATAACAGATGAAATGTGTGTTTTATGTGGTTTAGAGGAGGAATCTATTGTTCACCTATTCGAGAACTGCACGTTTGTGAATAGCATTTAGTTGAAGGTGTTTAGTTGGATATGCGGTGAGTTGGAATTATCTTTGTCAGAATTGAAGTGTTTCTTTTTTCATTTTGAGAAGGTAAAGTGTAAGATGAGGAGGATTCAAATAGCAGTCATTTGGCTCGCCACAGTGGGGAGTGTTTGGTTCTTGCGTAATGTCGTCATCTTTAGAGGTGATGTTATTATTTTCGATGATTGTATGTCAGAAATAATTTATAAATTATGGACTTGGCTTACATCTTCTTGTATATTGTCTGAAGGTTACAGTTTTCATGTTTGGAATACTCTACCTCTCATTTGTGTTAGGAAGTAGAGGTTTTTCAAATTATTTTTTCGAGTGCAGTATCCCTTATACTCTCTTTTAATAGATTTCTTTGCCTATTACAAAAATGTAAATTAAAGTTAATACCATTTGATTTTAAAATATAAAATGAATTCAATTTTTTTTTTAATTATTAAAGTCGTTGATAATAAAAAAAAGGAGAAACATTTGATAATAAAAAGTAAAAATAACACAATTCAAACAATTTATCAAATCATGAATGCAATTTTAGAAATTTTCTTATAAATTAAAAAACATATTACATATTTAGTCATTAGAGTTTTGAATTTTAGAGAGTCTAAGGTGTTTTTCTTATCAATGAGAGAGAAAAATAAAGGCTACTATTAAAGACTCATGAATTCTTAATTTTTTTAATAAGTAATCAACTATATATTTATAGTAATAAAACATACATGTAAATTATCAATATTGTCTTTTGCTTTAAAATTATTTATATTTGTAAAAGGTTAAAATAGGAAAAAAAGTTAATCTTTCAATTAATTTACTTTTGTTATAGTTATTAATCTATTTTTGTGTTTTGATCTATCATCAATGCAGATGAATGTAACATAAAAACATATAAGAAAGTAGAAAAATAAAACAAAAGAACATGGAAGAACAAAAACAAATATTTTCCACTTTATATAATTATTAATTTATTTTTGTATATTAGATCTATCAACAATATAAATGAAGAAAAATATACATAAAGAAATAGAAAAATGTATATCTGATCTATATACAATGTATATTAAATCTCAAAATTTAAGTATAGATAAATCTAACTTATTTTTCATTTTAAAATCCGTTATTGTTTTCAGTATATTTGTAAACCAAAAATATATAAATCTATTTCTAAAATATACATGTAAACTATCAATATTTCCTTTCACTTCAAAATTATTTACACT